GGAATAAAACATAACATCCTGGTTCTGATCGGTAAATACACTTTCTGTAACTCTGAATGCATTATGGAGACATGTATTTGTTAGGTTTCGCCAACCGTGACATGGTGCTATTTTTGAAACACTGATGGAAACACCAGCATCCAAGACATCTTCATCATCTCACCTGTATCATTTTTCCTGCTTCATCTCTGGCACAGCTGAGCTACATTCAGTTTAATCTCCTCATGAGCTCACTTAAATGTTAACTGTTAAACTGACTGTTTTGAATGTGTTTAATAAATAACAAATCCAAAATAAACACAATATTTATATTGATAAATTAATATACAAGAAGAATTCATATCATACGTGTCCCGTCACTAAAGCAAATATTTATTGAGTGAAGTAAATGTTTTGCAGAGTCACACAAAGAACAGATTTTACATATTAGCTGTTCACAGAAGTGGGAAGTAACAAAGTACAAATACTTTGTTACTGTACTTTATGTACTCTACTTGTTTATTTATTTTTGGGAGAAGTTTTTGCATTTACTCCCTAATTTTAACACAAATACCTGTACTTTAGATTCCTTACATTTTCAACTCAGGTTTGTTACTTTTTTTTTATACATTTGAGGGGAATTATCCATTATTTTTATTTTGCACTTGCTGCAAAATGTGCACATCGCTGCACTGACTGACATGTTTTTTCATTACAGGCTCTGCTTTGTTTACAGTCTGCTAGCTCCTCAGGCTTTCATCGAGATCTCACACGTGCAGCTGAGCCGTGCTTCACTTCAGATGCTGGTCATTTGAAGATTTTTTTTAACAAATATAGTGGTCTTTTGTTTCGTAATGATAAAACATGACACACAGTATAGATACTGGCTTTCATCAAACTCGATTTGACAGTTCTGGCTGAAAGGCTATCCAATCAAAAGCTTTGTCCCGCCCCCACACCCTACTCTTGCCACTTTGATCTGACAGCTTTTTATTAATGCAGCTGATTCTGCAAACATTTGCAGGGCATTGTACATGACACATATGGCACATGGTTGTATAATTACCTGAATATGGG